CACCTGCTGGAATAGCAGGAATAACAGCACATCTACAGACAGAAACACATGAGAGATGTAAAAATACTTTCATATCCTTCACATTTGTGGTCGATGTCTCGTGCTCTTTCAACCTCAATTTCCTCACATGGGATTGTTGTTGCTGTTGTTCTCCAAAGAGTTTCCGATGTGAATCTCCATTCCGTTTATTCGTTCTGCACAGCAGTCGTTTCTGTTAGTGATGACCACTCTGTTAACTCGGTAAATATGATGTAGATTCAGCCTCCACCATGGGTTAGTCTGACTGAGAGTTGAGGAGCATCCCGTATACAACTGCTGGAGACCTCGATCAATGGCTTTTTCAGCAAACCAGTTCTCAGATGTTGATGACTGTGTAGCAGCACCAGCTACTGCCAGATTTTCTAGAAAATGTATGAACAAAAATGTCACGATGCATCTTAATGCTCAAAGCTTGTAGCAGAGGCAAAGATTATTAGTGAACAATGACTTGAAGTGAGAAATCAATTACTTTGACCAAACAAAAATGCATAAATTATGATTTTGTGTCTCTTTAAAATATGTTTTAAGCATGGCATGAGAGTACATGAAATATATTCATGTAGAGCATTAAATTCAAAGCTCTACAACAATGAATTACCTGCCAAATACCCGTAGACTTCAACCTCGCAAAGACTAAGAATCTCCCAATCTCCAGGAATACGAACAATCACGTAACGTCCCACCATCCCATTACATGAGAAATTGTAGGACTCACCTGCTGGAATAGTAGAAATAACAGCACATCTACAGACAGAGAGAGAAACAATTAGAGAACACATTCGCATAATCCTTCACATTTGTTCTTGATATCTCACATTCTTTCAACCTCAAGTTTCTCACATGGGATTGTTGCTGCCGTTGTTCTCCAAAGAGATTCCTATGCAAATTTCCGCTCCGTTTATTTGTTCTGCATAGCTGTCATTTCTGTTAGTGATGACCACTTCACTAACTCGGTAAACATCACGCAGATCCAGCCTCCACCATGGGTTAGACTCATTAAGGGTTGAGGTGCATGTTGTATTCAACTGCTGGAAGCCCCGATTACTATCAACGGCCTTTTCAGCAAACCAGCCCGCAAATGTCGAAGACTGTATTGCGGCTCCTCCTACTGCACGATTTCCTGGGAAATTAATAAAAACCTTTTGTGATCCATGTTTATGCACAATTTGAACAAGCATGAATGAGACTTTTATGGAAGCGTATTTCCACGGAATAAAAAAATGTCAGAATTGTGGTGACGTTAATTATCAATTGACGGTTCGCAAAGACCCGCCCACCCTTAGTAACTGTTGCTATCTCTGACAAACAATGCCACTCTCACACTACACATCATGTTCTCACGCAGTGAAAA